GTCTGTTCTGTAACGATAGAATATTAGCATCGTTATATCATTACTCTGTGCCATTATCATCTCCCGTAATCGTGTCTCTTACACTTCGCTACGCTCGATATGAATATATCGGTGTTAATAACGTAAATTCAAACCACATACCGCGGGTGTTACGAAAATGCGTATACGGGAGAATGCCTGCGGGATCATTTCGGAGCTTCGCCGCTCTCGCGGATCATTATCTTTGTACGCGAAATTGGGTCTACGAATTAGTTATACTCGTGCAAATAGAGAGAAATCGTGACCAAACGAGGTCGCATTTAGAAATTTTATCGATAGCCAACGTAACAATAGACAATTGAAACAATCAGCAGCAGATTTACAACTGCATGCAATAAGATTTATTTTAAAGTTAAATATAATATCTATGTATGATATTTTTTTTCAACATTGCTACTACAGAAATTTTCTATAACCTCCTTGTTAATTATACCTTAGCAATAATTAATAGATAACGATTAATTTTAATTTCCTTTCTTCATCAGACCTGATATATTTGATGCTCTTGTAGCGTTTTTTAATTAATGTATGTGTATAATTTTCCATGTATAAAATCTTTGAAATAAATTTTAAGAGAAAATATTTCTAATTTAGAAAAATTAATTTTTGAAACGATCAGGTGACGAAATTGCATTTTTGGCCAGATATTATATATTACCGGGTGTAAGTTCAGACCTAGAACAATACTGGCTATTCGAGGAATTAGGGACACCAGTACCGTGGTATCTCTGTATACGCGCGACACGAGGAAACGATTTGATGCTTTGGGAAGGGAAGTCTGCTCTCGCAGGAGGGCACCGTGCCAGGAAGCCGATATTGCTGCGAACGAGACCCCGCGGAGTGTGTTTGTATGTATGTGTGTGGGGTGCGACCAGCTCATTGCCCGACAGTTAGCTTTCGTCGAAAGGTCATGCAAAATTATCAAAAATCTTTTTACTGAAAAGTCACAAAAATTGGCATTTCCGAAAGTTCTTTTGCTAAAATTTTAATTATTAAGAAAAAATTTTAGTACATTTATATATCTAAATTACTTTGAATATTAAAAACATTATATTGTTCAATGCTCTTAATAAATTTAAAATAAATAATTTCCAATATTAAACTGACTAATATTAAATTATATTTCTAAAAGGGTTTAAAATCCTGCATTGAAATGCTTGAGAAATTTAAAAAAATTAATGTTTCGTCAACAAAAATGTTGAAGAAAGTAATTTTATCTTCTCTCGTTTCGTTATCATAGAGAGAGAGAGAGAGAGACAGAGAGAAAATTTATATAATATTCTATTAAATGAATAAATTAATTAAAATATATTATTTGTGTGAAAAATATATTTCTAAATTTATACATTTTTTTATAATAAAAAACATATAGTTTTATTACATTTTAACTTTTCAATAATTTAATATAATTTTTTAATTAAATTAATCATTTTTTACAAAGCGTAATTTCTTAATAAATAATTATGAAATGTTTATAAATAAAATTTATAAAATGTTATCTTTGATGATACAAGCAATCTTCAATATGAGATAATGATTTGTTACAACAAAAATATACAACACATGACAACAAACGTTATCACCACGTCTACAGATAAGACGCGAAGAGACTTGATCTATATTACATGATTATTCGAAAACCGATATAACAAATTATTCGATTAATGATTTTACTAATGCTTATTTAAAGAACAAGAGTTAAAACAACAGGCAGTAAAATTCTTTTCCGTGCTTTTATTATCGCATTTTGAGCCTTCCTTAGAATCTTTTCGTACAAAAGAACGGATGTCAGAAGACCGGTCTTCATCTCTTTGTGGATGTCGAATAAAATTAAAAGAAAAAAAAGATAAACAGGATGACTCGCGCACAACCTTTATACGAAACAGACTTGAGAGAAGGAATAATTGTTAGACAAATTATGCGTTACATTGTCTCTACACGTGTTTTATCAGTCTTAAAAAGAAAAAAAATATAATGGAAAAATAGAATTTGCACTCAAGCGATTTCAACACATTTACTGAGAATAATAAATATTTTATTATTTTGTTAACATTACACAATCGCGTTGACTCTTATCGGCTTTTCTTTTCAATGTTTTATTTTCTTTTTAGTTTTGATTTATATTCTTTAAAACCTTTGTTACTATTCCGACACGTCGCATCGTAAATGACATTAATATGTACATGATGTATTCTTGGAACTAATAACAATACATCTATATACAGATTATAAATTAAATTTGCAATTTTAAATCTTGATTCATAGAATTCTGCATCTAAAAGTAAAGTTGCAAGCAATTTTGTATTAATTTTTTCAATAATCACGTAGTCATATGCATCGAATCTCTTCGTCTTATCTACACGTAATTTGCAATGATAACATTCTAACAAATTATTATCTCATATTTATGTGATAGAACAGTGGATTTTCCGTTGTAAAGATTGTTTATATTATCAGAAGAATAAATATTATCGTAAAGCACAAACGATACAGAAGGATGTAAAAGTAACTTGTCTCTAATTTTCCTAATCAGATCCACGATTTTGCTAATTCTTTATCGAAGAAGTTCGCGCGATATATCAGTCGACTGTGATCAACAGCCGCGACTGGTCGATTCAGGCGCATCGTAAACGTAAGTGTATGCTAGTTGTGTGCCGTTGTAGTAGTGTAAACTATCTTTATAACATATAAACGGGATGTCGTGAATGCCTTGACGTTCGATAGCAATTTTCTAAAGTATTTTCGGAGAGAATCGCGTGATATTTATACAAGTCATGATTATTCGCCGAGAAGAAAGGGGGTCATAGCCATCCGTCACGGAGAAATAGGCAACGGGCGATAATTGACAGTTTTAGCGTGTGACATGACGTAAGGTTAAACGATAAGCACAGATTATTCATCGTATTAAATAAAGTGGTGAAAAATATATAGACTTCTGAACCTTTATGTCATAGGCCGCTTTATGCAAGCGTTTGCAGCTGCTTGTTCATCAGAAAATGACATAAATACAGCATTGAGAACAATTGAATAAACCTCACAAATTTTAACACGTGTTTAATTATTATTAATTACAATTAAACTTTTCTTAACAGCTTCTAAAATTACATCTTATACATTTTAGAACTATTCTCTGTGCTTTAAATATGCCTCGATTCTTTTGAGGTAAAATTATGATAATTAAAACGCGCTTATTTATTTAAATAAGTGTTTTTATTTTTTATTCTATACACTGTTAGAAATTTTTGTGGGAATTTTCATAGTTACTGTTTCTGAAATTTTTGTTCACACTTAGTAAATTTCAGAAACGTTAACTGCATAAAGCTTCAGTCACACATTTCCGAAAATTCTGTTATATAGTTCAATATATATTTTAGTACTGTAATTGAAAATTTAAAGGGTTAAAAAATCTTTTATCGGTTTATTAATTTTAATATATATGCAGTTTATAATTACCTTGACACATAAATATAAATAGTAAGATTATACATATGAGCGAAGTATATTTATGTAAACAACTACGTACATTAGTACGTATCATATGTTTAATTAACTTAAATATAGTATTCTTAAATATATCATATGTATAGTAAAAATTATTTAAAAAAAAACAGTTTTTGACTATATATATTGTTTACATACGTATAAATGTACACAGCTGTTTGCATAAACATACTTCACTCATGTTATCTTACCATTTATGTGTCAAGGTAATTAAAAACTGCCTATATACATTAAAACCCATAAACCGATGAAATTTTTTTTAAAATTATTTGTTGCAAATTGTATTTGTATTATATTTAACGCATTAGAATTACATTTAACACCAATAACATTTAATGCTGAAAATACTACATATTGAATACATTTAATGCGTTAAAAATACTGTACAAAAAGCAAAATATATAATTAAAATGAAGGAACAAAATTTTTGATTGCCGCAGATAACTTTATAACTAATATAAGTATCGCAAGAAGCGATACGATGTTACTTAGCACCTTTTTCTCTCTTTTTGTTGGTCTTTTTCCATCTTTTCACAAGGATTAATTTTCATGAAATTCCTAAAATAAAAGTAATTGATATTAGCAAGCATATTTAGAATAAACATTATATAGCATTAATGGAATATTAAGTCGCTTCGCGTGGAAAGTCATGTGTGCAACAGTAGAATTATATAGACTTCGCTTCTGTGACAGATTTCCTAAACTCAATAATCGTCAACTTTAACGTTTAATATTTCGATCTGCGGGGCAGAGCGATACTTTTTTCTGCCAAATTCATTCACTTCGTGCAAAAACACGTCGAATAAGCTTAATTTCATTGAAATCGATGAGTATAAAAGACCGTCTCCTCCATAATTATCTAATAAAGGTTACAATAAATTTATTTGTACTTGTTTGGATTGTAAATTGTAAATAACACTTAATACATGTGACACTTGTAATCTGTATTACTGTATTGCAAACTGCTAAACTCTATTCTTTCACCGTGGAGTCCGTAGCCCTCTTGATGCTGATAACGGCCAGTGAAATAAAAAAGTAAAAAGCTGCGCAACTGCTTTCAGTCACGATGTCTTGCATTTTCGTTATCATTTAGTAATTTTAAGAAATCATTTGTAGTTATAAGATACAACATCAGAATTTTAAGAAAAATTTAGTAAATTTACTGTAAATGTTATTAACTTTCGTTTTCAACACCTTAAATTAGTAAAATTAAGTTACTTCAGTATCTTATATAAATATAATGGAATTTTTCGAACATTTCTAACAGTGTACTATATGTAACGTGAATTGCAAATGAGCATTGTTATAAGCATATTCTGGACTTCCATCTCTAAATTAAGGCCTTCTTTTAATTCTTTGAGAATTTATTTTTGTGAATTTTTATTTCAAAAAATTTGTTTAATTGAACTAAAAATTTTAAAATGTCGATTACGAATGTAGATGCTAATTGCTTTGTTTAGGAAGGTCGCAGAGGAATGTGGCATTTGATCTTGTTAATCGGCAGCGCAATGGCCGGTGAATCCGGACCAGAGTCGCCGCCAGAATTTTTTGATACAACGGTCAAAATTGAGGCACCACTACCTTACGAGGAGGCATTTCCGACTCCGCTTCCTGGTCTACTGTATCCTAGAGAAAGTGAATCCCGAGAGGTAAAACTTACGTGACACACACTGATCTTTTAATGTCACTCAAATCTGAACATATAATGGGCTGACGTTTTCATACTTTTATCACAAATTCAAACAAGTGTTTAAAAAAGTAATTTACATTTTATTTTTTTATATCTCGCTTATTAAAAATAATTCTAAACATTTTTATTCTAATAAAAAATTTATTATCCTGTAATATACATTATATGGTAAGTCGAAAAACATTGCAATGTACTGATGCAATTTTATATTGCCTTAAAAATATTTTCTGTATTGTGAAGATTTTTTTTATAATAAAAATAAATGCAATAAAAATTATCAGACATTTTTAATGTCTTCTTGCAGGTAAGATCGCTCGATGGATTATGGGATTTCGTTGTTTCACCTGAAGAAGACGTGTTAAAAGGTTTAACGGAAGGATGGTTTACCGATAACTTATCGAGGGTATCGTGTCATGATTTGATGTAAAATAATAATTAATAATAACAAGTGTAATTAACAAATTTAATAAATTAAAGTTTTTGTAACATGAAGTCACATTATCAAATTTGCGAAAAAAATTTATAACAAAAACGAAATAGTAATTTAATAAATAAAAAATTAATACCTGCAAAAGAAAGAAATAAATGAGATATTTTTTAATTACATAACAGTAGACAAAGAAATATTCAATTAATTATTCATATTAAATTTTTTCGTATTTACAACATTACATTCTTTACAATTTTCTCTTGTAAACATGTAATATTAAATACCTTATTATTCAAATAATTTCTTGAAAATTTTGATTATAAAATTTTTTCTATAGAAAACGTGCACAAAACTGTAGAATATTTTACAAATTGTTATCTTTTCGTATATTTAATATTATTTATTTTTTTTATTTACTTACTTTTATTATCTTTATTATTAATTCACGTCCAATTGCGTTGCAAAAATCACTTGTATTTTATAATTTTGTGTATTATAATCGCACGTTGTCTGTTTGTTACTACTTCGTCATTAGTGAGGATTTTTTCGCGTAAAACAAGACTGGCTTTACAGGTTGGAGAAGTGATAAAGATGCCAGTACCCTCATCCTACAATGACATTACAACATCGAGTAATCTCAGGGACCACTTCGGTGCCGTATGGTACCAGAGGACATTCTTCGTGCCCCTCTCTTGGAAGGATGAACGCGTTTTCGTCAGATTCGGCTCCGTTCATTATCTCGCACAAGTAGTAAGTATTTTTTTTTTTTTTTTTTTCACTTTAAATTCTTAAATCTCAAAATAATTTTTTGGGCCTTTCCTGAAATATGATTTATTTTTATATAAAAAAATTGTAATTCGAAAGTATCTAAAAAATATAAACAAAAAAATGATAAATGAACAAAATTTCAATCGTATATATATATATATATATGTGTGTAGGGTAAAGTCGCCTATTATGGGATAAGTTCCTAATATAAGATAGCGGGGTTTCTGCTAAAAAAAACTAACAAGCGCATGTGTTTGATTCTATCATGAACTTTTTACTCTTAGCGTGAAACCTGTTTAGTAAAAAATTATTAGAATATGTGTGTAGTCGTTGCAAAAAAAGATTTATGAAATTAAATGTTGTCAAATTTTATTGAGATTAGCCTTTAAATCGTGTTTTATTATGCAAAAATAAGTGATAGAGTGAAATTGTATTCATAAGAAAATACTATAATGATTTGTTTAAATGTAAAGATTAGATTTGGTGATCGTGAAACCGCAAGGCATGAAAGTCGTAATATGAAATATTCAGGATATTCCTAGCTAATATGAGAGGATCTAAACTTCTAAACAATTCAATGTCTCAAAGCATGCTATCGAACAAAATGTTAAAAATGACGATTCTATTGTTAAGATTACTTACACACACATCACATACACACACATCGAAAAATTATATAATTATTGTGTATAACATTTAAATTCTTTGTTCCTACTTGTATGTAATGTAATAAAAGCGTGTATAAAAAGTTATCTTTATTTTTTCTTTAGTTTCCTATTATGAGATATCACCTTACACAAGAAAATCCTTATATCTCATATTAGAAACCCTTTTTTGAGCAAAATCGGCATTTTAGATAAAAAATTTCATATACAACAAGTATAGCTATTATCGATCGTTAACTTTTTGGTAGTAAATCTTGAATATATTTCCTATAAAATTGACATAAAAATAGGAGTTCAGAATGCAAATTAAATAAATTACAAATCTTTAAAAAAGGTATCTCATATTAGGCGACTTTACCCTATATATATATATATACACACATTAAATAATTCTTTTAAATATAATTATATTAATTTGTGTTCGAAGAACAGTATGTTAATTTTTGAGAGAAATATGAATCTTTAAGTTTAAAAGCACCTAAAGTTCAAGTAAATTGTAAGCTTTATAAACGTATCGTTTATGGTACATACATTTTTGTGTAGTGGGTAAACAATGCTTTGGTGACCAGACACGAAATGGGCCATCTGCCCTTCGAAGCTGAAATCTCTTCATTCATAATCTACGGTAGCATGAATCGCATTACCGTAGCCGTGGATAACACTCTGGTGCAAAGTAGCGTGCCTCAGGGTAAGATCGTGCAGGTGACCACTGACAACGGTACCAAGTATTTGCAGACCTATACTTTCGATTTTTTCAACTATGCCGGTATACACAGGTAAACATTTAATTAACTAAAATAATGTAGTTCAAACAATCACAAAATTTAATTTTTTTACATTCAATGCTCTTTATTCTGTATAGACAAGCATATAGGAGAAATATTTTTAAAAACGTTATTATCATTTCTCTCTCGTTTATTACATTAGATTTTAATTATATTAAAACTTTAATTTTAATTAATCAATTAAAATTACAATAATTACATTTAGTATATATATTTGTACAAATAAATGATAACCTTATTTCTTTCAATTTACTTATTTTTTTAAATACTCTCAAACGTAAATAGGAACGTATCAAAAGAACGTACTAAATTGTTTCTATTTCAAATTGATTCTCCAATTTTCGAGAGTAAATTCAATATACATGTTGTAAATATGTACAAGTTCACCACAATTATCTGACAAAGAGAAAATACGTGACAGGTGTAATAGCATTGTTCCGTTTCACTGTTACACTATTACGAAGGACCTTTCGAGTTCTCTGAAGCGATACGCGAATTTCACTTGCCACAAATAGATCTCTATCAAGGGCTTTGTGGAAAAACTAAAAAGAACATTCAATACATTACCCTACAATCGAGAGACACGGTCATAAAATTTTTATTCTTTTACGACAAAAAATTTCTATAGCATAGAAAAAGAGGAATGAACACAAATTTATTTTCATCGCATACGATAATTCGAGATAATTATATAGCAAATCCGGTGATTCGAACGAGTCATAGCTGATATAAGAATAAAGTAAAATACAAAGGGTATATTTATAAAAAAAATATTTGTAATTACATATCTTTAATAAAACGTTCTATATATTTTCATTTTTAAATGAATTAGATTTAAATAATATTTTTCATAATTTATATTGTTCTGCATAAGAGTATCATTTGAGATACTGTGTTTATTAAGTCAGAATGCATGATATTAATTATATTTATGGCACAATTGTTCCTGATTAATAAATCTTATTGAAACACTTTACAAAGGTCCGTTTTGTTGTATACCACGCCACGTATCTACGTTAAGGACATCACAATAAGGACAAACCTGATCGGTGACATGGGAATTGTCAAGTACACCATAGAAGCGGATGGTTTAAACAAAGAGGAAATACTTGTCTGCAAAGTCACGTTGTTAAACGCCGAGGACACTTTAGCCATCAAGGAGCCTGTTTATGGCATGTCAGGTACCCTGAAGGTACCGTTTGCCAGACTCTGGTGGCCCAGGGGCATGGATTCCAAGCCAGGATACCTATATACTTTAGAGGTATGGTAAAGTAGGATAACTTTGACTTAGTTTGGATAACCGTAAAATGGTATAAAACGGAAAAATTTGGGTTCTATTAAAAAAAAATCTTAGACAAAGTCAAAACATAAAATATCTTAGATTAAAACATTTTTAAGATATCCAAATTTTAACATTTGAGCCATCTGGGCATTATCAAAATTTGAGTCAAAATTATCACATTTTACGATACGATCGTTGATTGCTCAAAACTTGCAAGTGCCTTAATATCTCGTTTAGGGCAAAGTCTATTTCGAATCGACCACAAAAAAAAGAAAGAGAGGAAGGATATATCCTGTATGAAAATTATACGCGAGACTGAAGTATTAATTTATTTATAAATTGTTAAAAAATTTTAAATTTTATTTACCAAAACGATAAACGGTTTTTTAGGTAAGAATATCAGTGTCAAACTTCACCAAACCAGATGTCTATCGATTGCCGATTGGCATCAGAACACTCGCCTGGACTAATAGGAGTCTCTTGTTGAACGATCGGCCAGTGTACATGCGTGGTTTTGGCAGACACGAGGACTCGGCTATCAGAGGACGTGGTTTTGACCTCGTCACTGCTGTCAGAGATCACGAGTTGCTTCAATGGATCGGCGCTAATGCCTATAGAACTAGCCACTATCCGTACAGCGATGAAGTCCTTGATATAGCCGACAGGTACCGAGAATTTGCTCCCTTTAAAATTATCTGATATGCTAAAACATTTCGTCTTCCACTTTTCTTGTACTTGCTTTATTCTGCTCTGTTTCATCTTGTTTAATTTTATTTTAAAGATTGGGTTTCCTCATAATCGACGAGTGTCCTTCCGTCGATACGGAGAACTATTCGCCGTTATTACTCATGCATCATAAGGATTCATTGTCGGAGCTCATTCGCAGAGACAAGAATCGACCTTCCGTAATCATGTGGTCCTTGGCAAACGAGCCAAGGACCCAGCTGCCCCAGGCCGAAGAGTACTTCATGCAGATTGCTCATCACACAAAAGCAATCGATCCTACCAGGCCGGTTACTATTGCTCTGGCTCGTGGAGTGCAAGTAATTACAAATAAATAAATATATAAAAAAATAATAAACGTATTATAAAAAGATAGATAATATTATTTTGATTTAAACTTCCTATTAAAGGCATACAACTCTACTCTTTTAACATTCTCTAAAAAAAAAAAAAGAGAAGACTGTTTCTTAATTTTCAATGTCAAAAATTTTTGAAGCTAATTTTTAAATTTTAAAGTTATACGTTAATGAAATAAAAGTTTAAATATTAATGCAATTTTTATTAATCTAATTATTAATCTATCCAAAATTTATAATTTTCGTCACAATAATCGCTTGTAATATGAAGACTGTCGATAAATGAGCATTGTAAATTGTAGGAAGACAAAGCAGGTCAGTTTCTCGACGTGATCAGCTTTAATCGTTATAACGCCTGGTATAGCAATGCCGGTAGAATAGATATGATCATTGACAGAGTTCAAGGGGAAGCCGAGGCTTGGCACAGAAAATATAACAAGCCGGTACTTATGTCCGAATACGGAGCCGATACTATGCCCGGTTTGCACGAGGTAAAACTCATTTTGTAATCACAAAGGTTCTTTTTTATTACAAATCGTAGTATACATGTATATTCTTCGTAAATGTAACTATGAAATAAAAATAGAAATAAGATCTAAAAATAATATAAAAATATAGAAAAAAATATTCGAAGAAAAACCAGAAAACCGATGAGAACAAACCAAAAACCATAAATATAAATAATTATAATAAAAAACAGATATAAAAAGATTAGGAAAAATGAAAATATAATTATTTTGTTTGAGAACTTTTATTTTATAACATTGCAACTAATTTTTTAATTTTCTATTTATACATATTCTACATAAATTAACTGCAGCTACCGGAATACGTATGGAGTGAGGAATATCAGAAGGAATTACTCTCCAAACACTTCGAAGCTTTCGATCGACTACGACGTGAAGGCTTTTTTATCGGCGAGTTCATCTGGAATTTCGCTGATTTTCGCACCGCACAAAGTGAGTATCGAATAAAATCTCTTTTAGTAATTTATTATTACAATATTTAATAATTCTTTTTAACAATTTAATGTTGATATTATCACGGAAACTTGTGCTAATAAATTATAATAAAATTCATATATTTTTTTCATTGTTTCTTTATATAATAATTAATTTAAAAAAATTTGCAATTAATTAAATGAATAGCTTAATTTACTTTAAGTTAATAATTTAATGTACAGAGACTAATAGTTTTTTAGATTAAATTTTGTAATTTAAGAGAGCCATCATTCGAATATCAATACTTGATCAATAGAAAGATTTGACTTAAAATGCTTTTTAATAATATTCATCGATGTTTGCGCGTTGCAGCGTATACCAGAGTGGGCGGCAATAAGAAAGGAATTTTTACAAGAGACAGACAGCCGAAAATGGCAGCTCATCACGTTAGAAAAAGATACCATGCTCTCGCAGTCGAATTAGACGGTGCACAGTTACCTGAGGACCTCGATAACTATATTTCTATTCCCCTCAACACTTAGAACTCTGACTGACTTTAAAAAAAAAAAAGAAAGAATTAAATGCGATAATTGTTTCGCGAAAAATCTTAATTTTTGACAAAACTGCATTTTATTCGTTTTGTACATTGATACATAATAAAAGTTGCACTGATAACTTAACATGGAATTATACCTAACGTATGTATATTCTATCATAAAGTCATTTGTAAGAAAAATATAAATTCTCTATTTATTCATCTAAGTCTCGTACACATTCATTTGTTTGAAAAACATTTTTACATCGTTTTCACATCCATTTAATATCATCCAACATAAATTTTTATATTCTGCATATTCTTATAGCTGTACAGAGGTATTTAAATATTTAATAAATATTTAAATAAAAAAACGGCATCTATCCGGTCTTGTATTTTTATACCATTTGTAACATATACTTATTACAAGTAGTATTAACAATTATGTGTCTAATACATCACAGCCTTATTTTGTGTAACAATGACATATACTTGCAAGTACTCACTTGTTAGAACTAGTTTAGCATGGTTTAGCATGGTCTGGCAATTCTACGACCTTCAGACAAGCATCGGCCATCTCCACAAATATAGGTTCCTTCTTCATGGCTAAAGCAATCGCCTCAGTTGGATTTGGACTATTCATAACTGTCTTCATAACATTGCGCAAATGGGAAGATTGGAGGCACTGCTTCAATTCCTTACTGTCATGCAACTGCTGTAGTTTCTCCATAGGCACCGTGTCTTCCGTTGGAAAGTCATATTTCCATCGATTGGCGCTTTGATGAGCCTTGAGTTCCTCAGATAATACTGGAGGCTCGCAAGATTGAGTTTTATGCTCTTTGCAACATCCTACAGAGCAACTAAAACAAATAAAAGAGTATTGCTCTACCTAATCATAAAAATATGAAAAAAAGCTTATAACTTAAAAAATAGAGTAATCAAGTTTATAAATAAAATTTACAAGAAAAACCTAAAAAAAGATTCTTTATTAGTATTATTAGAATTACATTATAAAAAACTTTTTAACAAGTTACATTAAAAATGAGTTTGCTATTATTCTCTTGTATTGTTAAAAATTAACGTGACAAATTTTCAAATAATGAAAATAACAATAATCTTCGCAGAAAACACTTAACCTCAAAATCAATGCAAGCAGTTACACTTACTAAGATTCTCTGCACGTCGGACATTTGTAAGGTGCATCATCCTTTCCACAGACACAACAATTTTTAAGTGTCATAATTTAATTACTTCAGAAAATACGTTATTTAATAGGTAAAAATATCAGAGCACGTGTTACGAACGTACGTATTTACATGACCACGTGATCTGACACATCTTGTATGATGGCGCCATCTGTGGATCAATAAAAGAAACAAATTTAAAGTTCTCGAGACATTTAAAATTTAAATGGCAATTAATTTTCGTTTATTTATTTTCGTCGCTTTCTTTATTGCGGTACTCACACATTCAAAAATGAAACAGGAATTTTAATAAGTATTATGTGTATTTTTTCTTTCTAAGCATTTAACGAGCAATACACATAGAAAAAGCCATCTCTTTATAAATAATAAAATAAGTGTTACATATTTTTATAACATATATTTTTTGTTGCACTGTTATTTTTTGTTTAACTGTTATTAAATATTAGTCAAGAATTATTATTAAACTTCATTTAATGTTTGTTCGTAAAATGTTCGACAATAAATAAATAATTTTCAACAATTAAAAAATATTCAATTAAAAACATTATTTATTTTAAACGATTAATTTTACGTGATTTTTAATATGATAAATTATATATTTGAATCTCTATGATTAAACTTCAATTAATAAACCATTTTCTTTACTTCTTTATTTATCTGCATATCGATTCTTTTTATTACAACGTATTCTAACTTGACAAGAAACTTCTCATAGTAAACAAGAATATAAAATAAAGAAGCTCTGAAACTAAATCTCACATAAAAAATAAAAAAAATCAATATAAAGAATCAATGCAGTCATTAGTGGGCAAGTAAAATTATAATCAAAAACACAAACGTTGCATCAGTTTGGTCCTCATAAATGTCACAAAAAAGAAAAAATAATAAACAATATTCAAACATATAATTATAATCTGCGGTTATTCTTAACAAGTATCAAATTGAGGGAGAGAGAGAGAAAGAGAGAATAATTACAGTACAAAATTAAATCAAAAGGCCATAGGAACTTAACGAATTTTAAACGATCCGATAATATTTTTTGTTTTTAGATTTATATGTATCACATTTGATGGTATTTCTCGTAAATCAGGTGACTTTTGTGCATCTAAAATCGATGGCATTAAGAAAGTAGCATTGGCGAGGAATTCACACCGCGAGGAGAGAAATTACGGAGTTGGACGACGTATTTCGATGAGGAGGAGGCGGAACTGGCCTGGATCTCTAAATGCGATCTCGTGGCGGATAACGATGGAAATTCACATTCTTGCGATGCGAGAGTTACGTACGTACGTCACTCGCGTGCCGGACACGGTGCGTCAACAGTACGCGCGATTCCAACGTGATTTCATTTCACGTCACGCGAGAACCAAATCTCGCTTTAACGATTTTACTTAGCACGGAAAACGGATCTCTTTTTGATTCGTAACGCGATCTGAATTTTTGCCCTCAGCAAAATGCGAACCAAATTTTATTCTTGAATAAAATTATCGTTTCGACACAACAACTATTGTCTTAATGCAAAATAAATTTTTCTGTAGTTCAACCGAGATTTACCTTTCAACATAATTTAAATATTTTTATTTTTAAATCACAATTTTTTAATATTGCACACGATAAATAATTTTGACACAAGAAGATACATTATTTTATTTTTAAATAATTTAAAATGAAAAATAAAAATTGCAGCATTAGCAAAATAAAACATACGTGAAGTAGTATATCATAAGTATTTAATTATAATATAATATTGACACAGAATGAATGGTTTTAATGAAATATTTAAAAATTGAGCCACAAATTTGAAAATAATTTCTGTTGTATTATTAATTTAATTTATAGCAACAGCAAAAGATAAAACGCCAGTAAAATTGTTATGAATCTTACATTTAGTTTACACACTTGATACAATATAAACAAACAAGAAAAATATACAAACTCAATAATACCTATAAACATGATAGAATCAACAGTCAAAAATAAACAAAATTAAAAATTAATTAAAGTAATAAATAACAATACAATATAACAAAAATAATAGATAATAATTGATAAAATAATACTGAATTAATACAATAAGTAATTACAAATAAAAATAAGCGCAGATAAACGCACTGTCACGTGCAATATATATTACGATCAAATGGATTGTAATAAAGTTAAAACTTTTTGCAGCATTACTCGTCATGCTCGAGATTTTTATGTAATTATTTTCATGATCTCCCCAACAAAATTATTTTCAAATCTGTATCCATCTAAATTTTTAGATACTTGTGCAAAATCTTTCTTTCCGTGTAGTTACAAAACTATTACAGAGATTAGAATCATCGACGTGAGTTGTCGCTGAAAGCTCTCGAAACTTTCTTCCCGAGGCCGGTGACCATGAGTAGAGCTCACGCGCCCAAGGTCATTGATTCCACCAGCAGTTCCGGCTCGGTTTCTGGGCCAGGTTAACCGACGGTCCCGCGACGGCGACGTCCGGAATACCTTCGCTCGTCGTGACGTTGACTTGGCCCGATACGGCAGACCGGTAACGAGCCAGTATAACTCAGCGATGGACGTGAACTCGTCCGAACCCAAAGTTCTAATACAAGTTCCCTCCAATCAATCAGCAAATTATTAAATTTGATTATAAGATATTAATTAAATTCCACGACTTGGTTTCATAAACGTCTCTTTAAATAGAAATTTAATATTCTGGCTTTTATTACTAAAAGACAATAATTTATGTGGAGTACTAAAAATATTAAACAACAGTACTTGCACATTACTTAAAATAAGTAATTAATTACTGCCCAGCAAACAGCTTCTCTAAGAAATACATAAGAGTCAACAAAAAATCAAAATTTTTATTTTAATTCTTAATTACGGCAATAAACAGTTAAATTTTGTAATAAAAAAATTATCATTTTGACTGTTTCTTAACTTTTGTTGTGTTCCTTAAGAAAACTAATGTTATTTCTTTTTTCCTTATTTTAACGTTAGATATCATTTCAACGTCAAAATGATATTAAATAATGTCAACTTATTTGATGGGTAAATTTCATTATTAACAGCTAGCCAGTATTTCAAGCGAGAATAATCCTTCAGAATTTTCTCAGAATAAATCTAAATTACAAATGATCATTGATTATTAATTTAATTGTAATTCAATTAGTAATTAAATTGAGATATCTAAGACTTATAAATAATTTTGCAAGATTCCAGCTCGTAGTTCGCTTAGTTAACACATGAATTACGGCCTTGCCGCGTATTATCGGCGCTTCATTCGCGAACATTCCGCCTTGCAAAATGCGAGTTGGCCGTTCATTCACGTCTGAGTCCCCGTTCAACTGCAGCAGGGCATTGACGCAGCGGCACGTGCGAGTTTAATCCTTTGGAAAAAGAGCTTCCGGAAGTCTAATCATCGCAAATAAAAATTTCACGGATACTCGACGCTCTGATAAATAAACGAAAAGTAGATTAAACTTCTATAATACAACAGACAGCCTAGATTAATTCTTAACAATGAAGAAAAGTACCTAATAAAAAGATCAAACTTTCAACGGCTTTTAAAGCAACTTTGTAATTCATTTTAACATACAACTTTAAGATGAAATTCCCTCTCGTCTGTTTTTTTTCTATTCCAGTCGGGGATTACTAGAAGTTAATTGTTAATTAGTAAAAGTAGTTTTTGCAATGAAGATAATTGATTGTGTTCGACGAGCAGCAACGTCGGCGTCTCGTTGCCCTTAATTGACATCGTAAATCATAACGCAAATAACAAAAGCAAGCTCGTGTTCAAAAACGGCACGTGGATTTACCTTGAGGAGGTCGCGGTACGTCTATCTCATCCTCTTCCTCTTTTTCCATCTGTGACGACAGGAGAATGCGATGACCCAGCATCAGGAAATCCACCTCCAGATGGTCGTACCGAATCGCGATTATCGTACGTGATCTCTCAGATCTCAGATTATTTCGACTATACACGGGGCACATAAAAATTTAACAATTACATAATAATAATATATAACACATTAACATAATTAAATTTATTATAATGATTAGAAATTATTATATTTAATATAATAATTAAAAATATAAATATAATACTTGAAATTAACAAATCTACAATACTTTTTGTTTTATTACACGATTATATAGATTTACTTTTCCGTAAGATTATATTTAATATGAATGATAATTATTTTATTTATCTGAATTAACGAAATAACTTCTCTATTGAAAATACTGGACTTTGTAAACAGAAAAAGCTCGCAACAATCTCGAAGCTGCTTTCTGCATTCAATTATATATAGATAATTACACTAGAACAGTAATCTAATCAAATGTTCTACATTCAATATATGGTATATAATATATCATATCTATAACAATTATTTTCAATATACGTCATTCACATTAATTTGCTAATAATTAGAAAAGAAAAAACTTTGCGTGTGGAGAAAGATGCACGCACGCGGTATATTTGACGGAAGCCGGACCAAATTCTTTGGAACGACTCGCGCGCGTCGAGATCTCATCTCGCCGCGAGCATGATGACAGCATCCGGCGATGACGTCATACAATTGCGACGGCGGCCACCGCCACAGTCGCGATGATCGTGCATGATGACGTCGACGATGATCACAGATCGGCGACGGCAACAGCAGGAGGAGGAAGGAGCTGAAACCCCGAGCCGAGCCGGCATAGGAATCGACGGTGCACCGTTTCGTCGCGGGGCCCAGCCAGTTCCTTCCAGATCGCCGTGTCGTCGACTTCTTTCGGATTCTCGCGGATTCATCGAGCTCTCGGCAATTCCGTACGCCGAGAGCCGGTCGTCGATCCGCGACGCCACGCCGGCCGGACGCGCCGTCGGCACATGACAGTGACCCACATACCACGGTTCCGGTATGCCGCGATTACGGTCTGCGATACGGTAATCTCGACGGGTCCGACATCGGTAAACCGAACGAAAATCGAACAGAGCTCAATGAAACCGAAGAATGGTAACTAACACCGACCGTAATCGGAACTGGTCGACGACGATTAAGTACGCGCGGTATCGATTTTCGATAGTCATTTAACACTGTAACTTG